TTCTTCTTCTTCTTCTTCTTCTTCTTCTTCTTCTTCTTCTCCTTCCTCTTCTTCTTTTTCTTCTTCTTCTTCTTCTTCTTCTTCTTCTTCATCTTCTTCTTCTTCTTCTGCTTCTTTTTCTTCTTATTTTTCTCCTTTTTCTTCTTCTTCTACTTCCTCTTCTTCTTCTGCTTCTTCTTCTTCTTCCTCATCTTCTTTTTCTTTTTTTTCTTCTTCTTTTTCTCCTTTTCTTCTTCTTCTTCTTCCACTTCTTATTTTTTCTTTTTTTTTCTTCTTCTTCTTCTGCTTCTTTTTTTTCTACTTCTGCTTCTTTTTCTTCTTCCTCTTCTTCTTCTTTTTCTTCTTCTTTTTCTCCTTTTTCTTCTTCTTCCTCTTTGTCTTCTTCTTCCTCTTCTTCTTCTGCTTCTTTTTCTTCCTCTTCTTCTTTTTCTGCTTCTTTTTTCTTCTTCTTCTTCTTCTGCTGCTTCTTTTTTTTCTTCTTCTTCTACTTCTTCTTCTTATTTTTCTTATTCTTCTTTTCTTCTTATTTTTCTTGTTCTTCTGTTTTCTTATTTTCTTCTTCTCCTTTTTCTTTTCCTTCTTCTTGCAGGTCACAGCGCAGATTTTTTATCGGTAAAACGATCGGCCAATTTGCCCATCATTGTCGGCAAAATCGTCCAATCGTCAAAATCAGCCGCAAATTTTCCAACTTTACCGATAAAAAAAATGTGCCAAAACCCCAAAAAGCGGCCGACCAATTAACCCACTAATGGTGCGAAAATCAGCCGATTTTCGACCCGTCTATGGCCTGCATTAGCCATTCTAGCTATTGGCTGACCCAAGTGAGGCCTTTCTGGAGACCATACTGTGGACGAAAGCCACCTCCATTCTGCAGATGGCTTGGTTACCCGGTCATTCTTGCTTCTCCATTCAGATTCATCCTGAGATCCTTACATTTTGTTTGAACATTGTCTGTGGATGACTGCAAAACTCTCCCAATCTCATTCAATTGAATCCATTGAAAGCTATTAACTGCCAGGCAACTCAACTCTTACACACTGCATCCAACTCAACCACTGAACGTAAAGTGGACCTTCAGTAACACTACAAGCCTGGAGAAATACATTCCTGACATGTCACAATATCGGCAACTGTGCAATTATTTATTTTATTTGTTTGTTTGTTTATTTATTTAAATCACATTTTTTGTCCCTGCTCTGCCTGCTATACATTTTGGGGAACCTTTGGAGGAGTCTGTGCTAATAAAAGAAGCTGGCAATGAAATGTCATTTGCAGAGCTGTGGATAAGGGGGTGCGATGTGCACTGCATTACATTCAGTGTAGTACAAGGGATACATGCAGGGTCTTTTAACCATTTGCCGCCCGCCCTATGGCCGAATGGCGGCCGGCAAATGTCATCAGTGTTCCGGGTGGACGCCATATGGCGTCCTCCCGCACATGCGCAGACTGCGCTCCTGCTCCTGCGATCTGTCACCGGTCGTGTACCTCGGACACGGCTGATGACAGATCTGAGTATCGGCCCCCATTGCCGGTACCATGTGACCTGCTGTGACCAATCACAGCAGGTCACATGACAGTTGTATACAATGGATGGCTTCATTCATGCCATCCATTGTATACCAGTGCCTAGCTGTGAATGGAGCACTATTCGGTATTATTTGTGCAGGGTGTGGATTTTGATTGGACATTGTTTTTTTATTTTTCACCGAGTGTGGTTTTGTACACTTGCACTGTGTTTTCTATAGGGATTTTATTGTTCACATTGATTTGATCCCCCAGGTTGGGGGAATCATTTACATACATTCATTGCTGTTGTTGCACTATTATTTATCACTTTTATACTTTGTATGTTTAACACGGTATAATTAGTAGGATTATTTATATATTCATATTTTTATGCGCATGGTAGTATTTATTTAGCGCTACACCATTTTATTTATTTATTTATTACACTTTGTGGTTGAAGGTGTTTAGCAGCTTAGGGTAGGGATTATCCATTTAAGCGCAAGGGATTGTTCTCACTATTTTGTGGGAAGGCCGTCCACAAGGTTTAGGAGGGTGTCTATGGGAAGGTTGGACCATTCTTCCAGAAGCACATTTCTCAGGTCAGGCACTGATGTCGGGGGAGGAGGCCTGGCTCGCAGTCTCCGCTCTAATTCATCCCAAAGGTGTTCTATGGGGTTGAGGTCAGGACTCTGTGCAGGACAGTCAAGTTCCTCCACCCCAAATTGGCTCCTCCATGTCTTTATGGACCTTGCTTTGTGCACTGGTGCGCAGTCATGTTGGAACAGGAAGGGGCCATCCCCAAACTCTTCCCACAAAGTTGTCAGCATGAAATTGTCCAAAATGTCTTGGTATGATGACGCCTTAAGAGTTCCCTTCACTGGAACTAGGGGGCCAAGCCAACCCCTGAAAAACAACCCCACACCATAATCCCCCCTCCACCAAACTATACACTTGGCACAATGCAGTCAGGCAAGTACCGTTCTCCTGGCAACCGCCAAACCCAGACACGTCCATCGGATTGCCAGACAGAGAAGTGCGATTGGTCACTCCAGAGAACACATATCCACTGTTCTAGAGTCCAGTGGCGGCGTGCTTTACACACCACTACATCTGACGCTTTGCATTGCACTTGGTGATGGAAGGCTTGGATGCAGCTGCTCGGCCATGAAAACCCATTCCATGAAGCTCTCTACGCACTGTTGTTGGGCTCATCTGAAGGCCACACCAAGTTTGGAGGTCTTTAGCTATTGACTCTGCAGACAGTTGGTGACTTCTGCGCACTGTGCGCTTCAGCATGCGCTGACCCCGCCCTGTCATGTGACGTGGCCTACCACTTGGTGGCTGAGTGGCTGTTGTTCCCAGTTGCTTTCCACTTTGTTATAATCCCACTAACAGTTGAGCGTGGAATATTTAGTAGCCAGGAAATGTCACGGATGGACTTATTGCCCAGGTGGCCACCTATCACGGGACCACGCTTGGAGTCTCTGAGCTCCTGAGAGCGACCCATTGTTTCACCAATGTTTGTAGAAGCCGTCTGCATGCCTAGGGGCTTGATTGTATACATCTGTGTCCATGGAGGGGATTGGAACACCTGAATCACATGATTGGGAGGGGATTGGAACACCTGAATCACATGATATGGAGGGGATTGGAACACCTGAATCACATGATATGGAGGGGATTGGAACACCTGAATCACATGATTGGGAGGGGATTGGAACACCTGAATCACATGATTTGGAAAGGTGTTCTAATACTTTTGGCAATCTAGTGCATTAATCTGTAATCTATATCTATCTATCTATCTATCTATCTATCTCTATCTATCTATTATCTATCTATCTATCTATCTATCTATCTATCTATCCATCTATTATCTATCTATTATCTATCTATCTATCTATCTATTATCTATCTATCTATCCATCTATCTATCTATTATCTATCTATCTATCTATCTATCTATCTATTATCTATCTATTATCTATCTATCATCTATCTATCTATCTATCTATCTATCTATCTATCTATCTATCTATCTATCTATCTATTATCTATCATCTATCTATCTATCTATCTATTATCTATCTATTATCTATCTATCTATCTATCTATCTATCTATCTATCTATCTATCTATCTATCTATCTATTATCTATCTATCTATCTATCTATCTATCTATCTATCTATCTATCTATTATCTATCTATCTATCTATCTATCTATCTATCTATCTATCTATCTATCTATCTATCTATCTATCTATCTATCTATTATCTATTATCTATTATCTATCTATCTATCTATCTATCTATCTATCTATCTATCTATCTATCTATTATCTATCTATCTATCTATCTATCTATCTATCTATCTATCTATCTATCTATCTATCTATCTATCTATCTATCTATCTATCTATCTTATCTATCTATCTATCTATCTATCTATCTATCTATCTATCTATCTATCTATCTATCTATCTATCTATCTATCTATCTATCTATCTATCTATCTATCTATCTATCTATCTATATCTATCTATCTATCTATCTATCTATCTATCTATCTATCTATCTATCTATCTATCTATCTATCTATCTATCTATCTATCTATCTATCTATTATCTATCTATCTATCTATCTATCTATCTATCTATCTATCTATTATCTATCTATCTATCTATCTATCTATCTATCTATCTATCTATCTATCTATCTATCTATCTATCTATCTATCTATCTATCTATCTATCTATCTATTATCTATCTATCTATCTATCTATCTATCTATCTATCTATGGACATGTTTTTAGAAGTTTCCCAAGTCCCGGTATCTCTGGATAGTCCGTTTCTCTGGCTTGTTAACTTCAGTACAGTTATTACAAATCTAGAGCTGAGAGCCGTCATATCTCCTGATTGTGACAGTCCAATCTACTCTTTGGATACAGACGAACGCGGCCATTATGGGCACAAGAATGGAACTGAATGGATTGTTCTAATATATCACAAGGTTAATTTCATAGACTCCTGCATGAGTTCAGCTCCAACACCCCGATCACATTCTCTACTAATGCATCTCAAGTCATCACCAGTTTCACCTTATATCAAAAGGGACCCTATATTGCATTGAAGTGTTCTTTTATTGTATATCGCTTACTGTATATTTGACAATTGTTACCTTGACATGTTCTGTATACTGGCACCATGTTTTGTTCACCAGGAGGATGTGTAAAGGGGGGGTTGGAGGAGGGGAGAGGAGAAAAAAGAGGGGTGAGAGGGAGGAAAGAGAAAGAGAGAGACATTATATGGGATCCAGAGCCATCTACCCCAATATGAGATGGTCTTCGAAATTTGGCTTCAGTGGATTACAAATTACAGAGTAAAATGAGTGAATGTTTAGGATTTTAGCACAGTTGCAATGTGTGCTGGATAACCTAAGTAAACTTATTAGTTTTAGAAATATAATTTAGTTGGTATTTCAAAATATGACACCCCCACTGACTTCACCATAAATATCACTAACACCATCCTCAGTCCCTCCCCTCATGCCGGGGTACTAGGTGTAATCCTAGACTCCCATCTGTCCTTCCAGCCCCAGATCCAATCGCTGACAAAATCATGGTGACTTCACCTCCGCAACATCTCCATCCTCCGCAACATCTCCAACCTCCGCAACATCTCCATCCTCCGCAACATCTCCAACCTCCGCAACATCTCCATCCTCCGCAACATCTCCAAGATACGCAACATCTCCAACCTCCGCAACATCTCCAACCTCCGCAACATCTCCATCCTCCGCAACATCTCCAACCTCCGCAACATCTCCATCCTCCGCAACATCTCCAAGATACGCCCGTTCCTAACCCCGGAACCACTAAGCAACTTATTCACTCCCTTATCATATCACGCCTCGACTACTGTAACTCCCTTCTCATTGGCCGACCTCATCGCAGGCTATCCCCTCTCCAGTCTATCATGAACGCTGCTGCCAGACTCATCCACCTCACTAACCGTTCTGTATCCACCACCCCCCTCCGCCAATCCCTCCACTGACCTCCACTCAGTGCCCTCCATCCCTCTCTGCCAATCCCTCCACTGACCTCTATGCAGTGTCCTCCATCCCTCTGCCAATCCCTCCACTGGCCTCCACTTAGTGTCCTCCACCACTCTCTGCCAGTCCCTCCACTTGCTTCCACTCAGTGTCCTCCACCATTCTCTGCCAATCCCTCCACTGGCCTCCATTCAGTGTCCTCCACCCCCCTCTGCCAATCCCTCCACTGGCCTCCACTCAGTGTCCTCCATCCCTCTCTGCCAATCCCTCCACTGGCCTCCATTCAGTGTCCTCCACCCCCCTCTGCCAATCCCTCCACTGGTCTCCACTCAGTGTCCTCCATCCCTCTCTGCCAATCCCTCCACTGGCCTCCACTCAGTGTCCTCCACCCCTCTCGGCCAATCCCTCCACTGACCTCCACTCAGTGTCCTCCATCCCTCTCTGCCAATCCCTCCACTGACCTCCATGCAGTGTCCTCCATCCCTCTGCCAATCCCTCCACTGGCCTCCACTTAGTGTCCTCCACCACTCTCTGCCAGTCCCTCCACTTGCTTCCCACTCAGTGTCCTCCACCATTCTCTGCCAATCCCTCCACTGGCCTCCATTCAGTGTCCTCCACCCCTCTCTGCCAATCCCTCCACTGGCCTCCACTCAGTGTCCTCCATCCCTCTCTGCCAATCCCCCCACTGGCCTCCATTCAGTGTCCTCCACCCCCCTCTGCCAATCCCTCCACTGGTCTCCACTCAGTGTCCTCCATCCCTCTCTGCCATTCCCTCCACTGGCCTCCACTCAGTGTCCTCCCCCTCTCTCGGCCAATCCCTCCACTGACCTCCACTCAGTGTCCTCCACCCCTCTCTGCCAATCCCTCCACTGACCTCCACTCAGTGTCCTCCATCCCTCTCTGCCAATCCCTCCACACTGGCCTCCACTCAGTGTCCTCCACCCCCTCTCTGCCAATCCCTCCACTGGCCTCCACTCAGTGTCCTCCATCCCTCTCTGCCAATCCCTCCACTGGCCTCCACTCAGTGTCCTCCACCCCTCTCGGCCAATCCCTCCACTGACCTCCACTCAGTGTCCTCCACCCCTCTCTGCCAATCCCTCCATTGGCTCCCAGTTGCCCAACCGATAAAATTCAAAACACTAACAATGACATATAAAGCCATCCACAACACTGCCCCAATTTACTTAACTGATCTTATCTCTAAATATCACCCAAACCGTACACTTCGCTCCTCGCAAGACCTCCTACTCTCTAGCTCCCTCATCTCCTCCTCCCATGTTCGTCTCCAAGACTTCTCCAGGGCATCACCTATCCTCTGGAACTCCCTACCCCAATCTATCAGACTATCACCTACTCCACTTGCCTTTAGGCGATCACTGAAAACCTATCTCTTCAGGGTAGCCTATCCTGCCCTCAGCTAATAATGGAATCTTCTACTCTTCCAACCAGTCCATCCCCCACAGTTACTACCTACTGTACCATTCACCCCTTCCTCCTAGATTGTAAGCTCCCAGGATCAGGGCCCTCCTATCCCTCTTGTATTGAACTGTATTGTTACTGCATTGTCTCCCTCTATAATGTAAAGCGCTGAGCAAACCGTTGGCGCCATAAATCCTGTATAATAATAATAATGACAGGACTCAAAGTTTATAGGGAAATGTCAAGATGCAGCTTTGAATCCAGGACCACTTCTTTATCCGGCATTGGCTCTTCCTACTGTGCCACCTGAGATACTGGAGAAGATTCTGCTTGATCCTTTGGACAATTTTGCCTTGTGCCTTGTTTCTGATAAACCTTGAACTCTTTGCCCCTCCCATAAACTTCCTATTTAAGCCATGTCTCTGGATTTCCCTTTTGCAAGATTACTGCGCTCCCTGCAGCCAATGTTTTGCTCCTTGCACTCTTGCTTCCACCTGTATCTTCACTACCATTCGTTACCAACCTTTGGCTTGTTCCTCGACTATGATTCCGCTTGATCCTAACCTGCCATCACTTGTTACCGACCTTTGGCTTGTTCCTCGACTATGATTCCGCTTGATCCTAACCTGCCACTACTTGTTACCGACCTTTGGCTTGTTCCTCGACTATGATTTTGGTTGATCCCAACCTGCCACCAGCTGTTACCGACCTTTGGCTTGTTCCTCAACTATGATTTTGGTTGATCCTAATCTGCCACCATTTGTTACCAACTTTTGGCTTGTTCCTAGACTATGATTCCACTTGATCCCAGCCTGCCACCATTTGTTACCGACCTTTGGCTTGTTCCTCGACTACGATTTTGGTTGATCCTAATCTGCCACCATTTGTTACCAACTTTTGGCTTGTTCCTAGACTATGATTCCACTTGATCCAAGCCTGCCACCATTTGATACCGACTTTTGGGTTGTTCCTCAATTATGATTCCGCTTAATCCCAATCTGCCACCATTTGTTACTGACCTTTGGATTGTTCCTCGACTATGATTCCACTTGATCCCAGCCTGCCACCATTTTTTACCGACCTTTGGCTTGTTCCTCGACTATGATTCCACTTGATCCCAGCCTGCCACCAGTTGTTACCGACCTTTAGCCTGTTCCTCAATTATGATTCCGCTTGATCCCAATATGCCACGATTGTTTACCGACCTGTGGCTTGTTCCTCAATTATGATTCTGCTTGATCCCAGCCTGCCACCAGTTGTTACCAAACTTTAGCTTGTTTCTCGATTATGATTCCGCTTGATCCCAACCTGCAACCACTTGTTACCAACCTTTGGCTTGTTCCCTGATTATGCTTCTGCTTGATCCCAACCTTCTACATTTACTGCCTGACCCCAACTTGCTTACCTCTCCTGGTGGGGCGATCCAGAGGAATGTGACTTGGCACTAGTAGGCAGCAAAACCCATCTCCACCATCAGGAGCTCTTGTGAAGATCAATTAGTGCTTAGACCCCGCACCTCGGGTGAGTTTGCGTCATCCACCAGGGGGACCCACTGGTGTATTTATCCTGCTGGCTTCTGTGTGAATATTTCCACTGCTATAGCTACTGGTCTCCAAGCCTTACCCCTTAAAGCAGGGGTGTCAGACTGGTGGCCCCCCAGCTCCCATCATCCCTCTGCCTTTGGGAGTCATGCTTGTACCTCGCGATGCCTCATGGAACTTGTAGTTTGGCAACAGCTGGAGGGCTGCCAATTTGACACCCGTGCCTTAAAGGATAAGTTCACCTTTTGGACAAAAAGAATAAATACACATTTTTTTGCAGGTGAAAAAATGCGCATTTATTATTTTTGTGCAACGGAGCCTAAAAAGCATTTCACCAGCGATCAGTAGATGGTTGACGCCATGCAGGTCTCCTGCAGACAGGCTGTACGGTCAAGCAGATATACTGACAGGAAGCTGCAATGAACTACCATGGTGCTCCTCAGCACCGTGGAAGTTTATTGAAAACTACAAGCCAACAAAGGCTGCTGGGACTTGCAGTTCATTCATTCATGGAAGTCTGTAAATGAATGATGCGGCCGTGTGGGTGGAGCCCCGCATGGTCACGCTGTTTTCAAATCTGACAGATAGTACGGGGAAATTTCTTCCCATACTATCTATCAGAGGGAGGGGGGCAGCGAAGGCAGCGGAGGCTATGGGAACGTGTTACATGTTCCACCCTAAAAACAGGTGGAACATGTAACATGTTTCCAAAGGTGGACATATCCATGACAAAAAAAAATTGATTTAGGTCAGGATGAAAAGATTTGTAGTGCAACTCCAGAACTGCTGGATTGTTAGGGTCCTTTTATTTTGTACCAGAGATAACCCACCAAGGAACTGACCCAGGACTGACACACCTTATGGCTTACAAAGGGTTTTTATTGAAATGTAAAAGACCTGTGAGGAAATGAATGAGCAAATCCACTCACCGACCACTTTATTAGGTCCACCTTGCTAGTACCGGGTGGACCCTCTTTTGCCTTCAGAACTGCCTTCATTCATCATGGCAAAGATTCAACAAGGCGTTGGAAACATTCCTCAGAGATTTTGGTCCATATTGACATGATAGCATCACTCAGTTGCTGCAGATTTGTTGGCTGCACATCCAGGATGCAAATCTCCCATTCCACCACATCCCAAAGGTGCTCTATTGGATGGAGATCTGGTGACTGTGGAGGCCATTGGAGTACAGGGACCTCATTGTCATGTTCCAGAAACCAGTTGGAGATGATTGGAGCTTTTTGACATGGTGCATTATCCTGCTGGAAGGAGCCATCAGATGGGGACACTGGAGTCATAAAGGGATGGACATGGTCAGCAACAATACTCAGGTAGGCCATGATGTTTAAACAATGCTCAATTGGTACTAAGGGGACCAGAATGTGCCAAGAAAATACCCACCATGAAACCACCACCACCAGCCTGAGCCATTGATACAAGGCAGGATGGATCCACCACACCATGAAACCACCACCACCAGCCTGAGCCATTGATACAAGGCAGGATGGATCCACCACACCATGAAACCACCACCACCAGCCTGAGCCATTGATACAAGGCAGGATGGATCCACCACACCATGAAACCACCACCAGCCTGAACCATTGATACAAGTTAGGATGGATCCACCACACCATGACACCACCACCACCAGCCTGAACCATTGATACAAGGCAGGATGGATCCCCCACACCATGAAACCACCACCACCAGCCTGAACCATTGATACAAGGCAGGATGGATCCACCACACCATGAAAACACCACCAGCCTGAACCATTGATACAAGTTAGGATGGATCCACCACACCATGACACCACCACCACCAGCCTGAACCATTGATACAAGGCAGGATGGATCCCCCACACCATGAAACCACCACCACCAGCCTGAGCCATTGATACAAGGCAGGATGGATCCACCACACCATGAAACCACCACCAGCCTGAACCATTGATACAAGTTAGGATGGATCCACCACACCATGACACCACCACCACCAGCCTGAACCATTGATACAAGGCAGGATGGATCCCCCACACCATGAAACCACCACCACCAGCCTGAACCATTGATACAAGGCAGGATGGATCCACCACACCATGAAAACACCACCAGCCTGAACCATTGATACAAGGCAGGATGGATCCACCACACCATGAAACCACCAGCCTGAACCATTGATACAAGGCAGGATGGATCCATGCTTTCATGTTGTTTACACCCAATTCTGACCATACCATCTGAATGTCGCAGCTGAAATCCAGACTCATCAGACCAGGCAACATTTTTCCAATCCTCTGTTGTCCAATTTTGGTGAGCTTGTGCGAATCGTAGCTCCGTTTCCTGTTCTTAGCTGACAGGAGTGGAACCTGGTGTGGTCTTCTGCTGCTGTAGCCCATCTGCTTCAAGGTTGGATGTGTTGTGCATTCAAAGATGGTATTCTGCATACCTTGGTTGTAACAAGTGGTTATTAGAGTTACTGTTGCCTTTCTATCGTTTCCAACCAGCCCCGGCCATTTTCCTCTGACCTCTGACATCAACAAGGTATTTTCCTTCCACACAACTGCTGTTCACTGGATATTTTTCCTTTTTTGGTCCATTCTCTGTAAACCCTAGAGATGGTTGTGTGTGAAAATCCCAGTAGATCAGCAGTTTTTTTAAATACTTAGACCAGCCAATCTGGCACCAACAACCATG